GGCAAATCTGCTGCACAAGACCTTTTTAAAATGTTGAAGAGCAATGATGTCAGCTTGAAGATAAGGTGCACCTGACCCAAGCCATGGTATTTTCAATAACCTCATATGCATTCGAAAGCTGGACAGTGAATAAGGAAGACCGTAGAAGAATTGAGGCTTTTGAGTTATGGTGTTGGAGGAGACTATTGAAAGTGCCATGGGCTGCCCTTAGAACTAACAGATCTGTGTTGGAAGAAGTGCAGCACTCAGGCTAAGATGGCCAAACGTCATCCCTCATACTTTGTACATTTTGTCAGGAATCACTGGAGAAGGATATCATGTTTGGTAAGGTGGAGGGTCAGAGAACAAAGAAGAAGAGCCCCAGTGAGATGGATTGGCAAAGTGGCAGCATCAATGGGCTCAAGTGTGACAACAATAGTGAGGTTGGCCCAGTATTGGGCAGTGTTTTGTTCTGCAGCACATAAGGTTGCTATGACTCAGTACCGACTTGATGACACCTTACAACAACAACAACAACAGTCTTTGTAGAATGAATGAATGTTAGCTATGACTGACCAGGAAGTCAAATGTACCAGCTCTGTCTGAGAAGATCCACCACATGTTCATTTTTGTCCAGAGCTTTCTAAGAAACTGTCATGTTCTCTGCAGCTCTGCAGAGTGCTTTAGTCTGTATAGATGGCAGCATGTTTCTGGGAGTCACTTAAAAACTTAGGATAGGAGTGGAGAGAAGACTAGAATCAAGTCATGAAGGTGAGGACAGCAGTTATGGAGATCTGGTCAGGCTGACGAGAACCTAGAGTATCTCTGTTGGCACAGTGGACACTCAGACTCACCGGGATGTTGTATCGAGTCCTGTAAAGGGTCCTCATGGCAACAGTTGCTCCACACAGGCAGCATTCATTCATATCAGAGGCAATCTGACACCCAAGGCACAGTGGACAGAAAGTTCCGCAGAGACCTGGGTGCAGGACAAAATCACAGAAAGCAGTTAAAGTCATCATGGGTCTGTACTAACTGATACAGCTTTCAATGGACATACTGAGAAAAGAATTGTGTCACCAAGCTCTTTATGTCTTGTTTCTAGAACCTAGTATCCAGAAGTTGGGGAAAGTTGCAAGTTGTTATCCTGGAGCAGATTTAATCACAGTCTCTTGCTCTGTCACTTATGAGTGTGTTCAAATGATCTTTCTTCCCTTCTTGTTGTTGTTAAGTGCCCTTTAGTCAATTCCAACCCATAGCGACCCTGTATAGAGTTTCCAAGGAGCAGCTGGTGAGCTTGAGCCACTAGCCTTGCAGTTCAAATGACTTTGCAGTCTGATGTGTTAGCCTACAGCGCCATATCAGGGCTCCTACTAGAAATTATATTTGAGTAATGCTTGCATAGGAGGTCTGTAGAATTAGTGTACCTAAGAAGCCTCTGAAAACTGTGGGAAAGAGGTTAGGATAGAAAATACTGAATGGAGAAATCATTAAGATCAAAAGTGACAACGGCAATAGGGAATAGATTCTAGATGGTCATCTGGAAAAAGAATAGAAATCTGTGAGGATGGAAACAAATCTATGAGGAAATATACAGAAGTTAAGAGATATTAGCATTAGAAGTTTATTTTTGAAAAAAGGTAAAAAGCTTACTAGAATTTTAATTTAAATGATCTGTATAAGACCAAAAAAAAAAAAAAAAAAAAGGGCTTAAGAAAGTAGAAACAAGCAGGAAAGGCTTAAGAAAGTACAAATTTATTTTACCAAGTTCTAAGGTGGAGTTTTAATATGGCTGCACCCCAGATAAGTTAAGAAAGTCCATGCTTTATCACTGATTGACTAAAGTGGAAAGCTATCTCCAATGAACCTGGAACTTCCATCATATAAGACACGTGGAAGTTGTTTCTCAAAGACCAGGTACAGAGAACGTATTTGGTTCAAAAGTTAATAGACTGAAAATAAGAAAAAGTTTCCTCCCACCAAAGTTTGTCAGTATAAAAGAAACAATGTTTCCCGAAATGTAATAGTCACAAGAGTAACAAACAGGAATAGCAGGAAAACATAAAATCAGCACTGTGCCAAATGAAAGAGATGAACAGAAGACAACTCGGTGTGACATGTCAAGAACACAATCACACCAGAGGTAAAATTTAATAAGAAGTGATTGATATAGGAAAGTATCACAAACTTCAGGCCAAACAGGTGGAATTGTTGTTGTTTTGTGCCGTGGAGCCAGTTCCGTCTTATATCAACCCTGTACAGGGTTTCCGAGGCTGTAAATCTTTATGGGAGCAAAAAGCCTCCCGCGGAACAGATGGTAGTTTCGAACTGCTGACCCTGAGGTTAGAAGCCCGATTCATAACCACTACACTACCAGAGTTCCTTGAAACAGGTGGAACAGGTTGGCAAAAATCTAGTTGATAGTGAATGGTGAGTGTAAATTTGGTAAGCTGGTTACTTAGTACTTAGCAGCGGCTAACTGTTGCCATATGAGAACAGAACCCATCTTTCCAGAATTTTAAACTTCTCAAGAAAAGCTGGAAAAATCTACATTTTTATGTGAAGTCGGATTTTTACTGGTTTCTTATTATTTTAAAATGAAAATTAGAAAAAAACATCAATATGCTTATGCCGCAATAAAGAGCTGAGAACAAAACACATCTGTGAACTAAATTCACCCATTAATGTCTAGTCTGTGACTTCTGGTTTAGAGAATAAAGCACAGAAACCAACAGAAAGAAAAAAGCGTCTTTGTGATGTCAGTCACTGGCATCGTTCTAATCAGGTCGAGAGCGGATAACTAACTATGTGTACTTACAAATTCCCATGTTATCGCAGCAATCAAATACGCCCGTCTGCCAGTCACTGACAGTCATACCTCCTGCTCCAAAGCTTGGCTGCGAAATAACTGGATTCATTTTTAAAGCTAAGTTCAGAAGGCCGCTGCCTGTGAACACAAAACAAAAAAGTATTAAACATATTTGTTGTTAAATGCTGTTGAGTCGGTTCCCACTCATAGCGACCCTGTACAGGATTTGGTTCAAACCGACCTTACAGTTGAGTAATTATCTTATGGATCCACACCATAACATATTGGCTGGTTTTAATGTTCTAATGATACTATTTATAATGATTGGGGAGCTTGGTGGTACTGGATTGCTGACCACAAGGTCGGTTGTTGGAGCCCACCAACCACTCCTGCCAAAATTTATCGCCACAGAAACCATACACAGGGTCGCTAAGAGTCAGAAGCAACTTGATGGCACTTAACAATTACAACGTTATACTGATTTCGATCAGTCCTGGTGTGGCACTGTTGGATAAAGCATTGGACCACAAGATTGATTTGAATCACAAGGTTGGCAGCCGGTCCTTGGAAACTCTATACAGCGTGGCTATGGCATTTAAACAACAATAACAATAACAGATTTGCATTGAGACAGGCAGGCTGGTGGAGACAGGCCCTGGACCCTGACCCCCAGGGTACATATCTCATTCCAAGGACAGGGTCTACATTCCGGGAATTGAGCAGGGGACCACCTCAGGCCCACATGATTATCACAGCTAAACTCCTCCTGGTACCGACTCGCCTCCAAGGAGATAATAAAGCCCCCGACTCGCCTCCAAGGAGATAATAAAGCCCCCGAGTTAAAGCTTACTTGCTTCTGCTTCTGTAAACTGCCCACCTGCTTGCCCACTGCTCCCTCCCCTCCGAATGTTTGAAGAAGCACATACCAGCCGTACACACCTCCCTTTGCTCAAGGACCCAAATGCTATAGCATTTGCTACAGGCAGGGTTCTTCCTAGGAACGGGGCTCGGTCTCTGGATAGGAATCCGCTGAGCCACTTCCTTCGTTATAACCCGCGTGACGTGGGCAACTTCTTCAGAGTGATTCCAGTAACAGCATTAGTTACAAAATATATCGATCCAATTAAGACACCAGCTGAGAAGACATTTCAACACATGTCTCTTGATTTGAGGCTGTCAGGTCCAACTGACTTAGAATAACATTCTCAGGCTTATGTCGATTTTGGGGAACTGAAAATATGTAGGAAGGGGAATAAAGGATTTTTCCTCAGTCTCTGCTTTGCCCCTTGTACTGATCCCTCTTTCTTCTCATCAGTAAGATTTAAAATTTTTTTTGCTGATTTCATTACAACCATCCTGAACAAGCCAGTTTTGCATTTGAAGCCTGGTTGCAATTAATGATAATTATATGGTCTAGCACTGTAGGATAGCACTGGACACAACCATAAGGTTGGTGGTTCAAACCCAGCAGTTGCTCCTCTGAAACCCTATACAGGGTCACTAGGAGTTGGAACTGACACCATAGCACAACAATATATATGTTTTACAAGCAAAACCTTTACAAGCAAATACCACAGACATTTTGTGGGAGTAGATCATGGGAGTATAAAGTTTTAACAGATGACTCTGATGGTAGCTAGGTCTGGAGACTACTATTTTATATACCATTTCAGATCCTCCTAACCAGTCTTAGCTCTTCACCTTGCTTTGTTTTCCTTCCTGATAAATACTATCTTTTCAGATTTGTAGTTGTTATTGTGAACTCACATTAAGATCCTAGGCCCCTTTGAAAGGTGCCTCCAACACTTATGATTCAGAACTGCTTTGTGGCCAGGAAAACAGCTCAGATTGAGACTCTAAATTATGGATGAATCAAACCAGGGATATGTTTTCAAACTGCAAGGTACTGGCAGTTAGGTAGAAGAATTCCTACCCAGACCTAAGGGCCCCTTGAATTAAATTATGTAAGAATTTATACATAATGAAAGAACAAAAAAAAAGGTCCATATAAATATGCCTTTTCCTTGCCATAGAGGCAGCTTGACATTTCTCCTTGAATAGAGGCCTCTCTGGACATTCTGAACTGATAACAGACACAAAGACCATGAAAATAGCTAACTGATAAAGGAAGACCTTGCCCTCCCTGATTTTCCTGTTAATCTTCTTTTTACAGATACTCTTCAAGCCATGGACCCTGAGTCAGTTTCAGACTGATAAGAGAACATGGGCCATAAAGATCAACTTGTTCTCTGATTGACCCCGGAATATCCCAGAAATATAGTCACTCAGGCCCATTTTAGAAGCAATGGGTTTGGCAGTGACTTCCAGGCCACATCCTAACCTTGGCCCTCTTAAATAATGCTTGCTTCATTGCTCTGAAAGCTTAAAAGCTCCCTGAACCCTTTCCTTTGTTCAGCGAGACTGTACTGTGCTTTGAGAATCATCTGTCTCTTTACTTGGTACAAGTAATAAAGCTTTGTTCTGTGTAAACTGGCATAACTCTGTGTAAATTGGCATAAAGTTATTCTTTACTAGAAAACAAGAGATGAGCCCCTTGAGGTTGGTAATGCTGGTGGTTTACATGGGGCATGGGACTTCTAACAGAAAGATTGGTAGTTCAAACCCACCAGCTGTTCTACCAGAGAAAGGTGAAGCAGTCTGCTTCCTTAAAGATTTCCAACCTCAGAAACCCTGGTCAGCAGTTGTACTCTACCTTATAGGGTCACTGCGAGTCGCTATTGACTTGATGGATGCGTTAGGAAAGGAATGCCAGAAGCTGTATGTTTAATAAGCAACCCAAGTGCTTCTTAAGGAAGAGATGGAAAAGAAGTGAAATGTGGTACATAGCAATATGATTTCCTCATGTGACTGCTTTTGAATCTAAATAGTACTTTCTTCCAACTCCTTTTCTAGATACTGACTGATTCTTCTGTGAAACAAATCAAAACAAAGGAAAGAAAATAGAGAATTTCAGTGAAACAACTTGAGGAAATGCCAAAAGGAAAGAATGCATATGAATTGTATGTTGTTGTAGTTAAGTGGTGTCGAGTCAGGTTCTGACTCATAGCCACCCTGTATAGGATTTCCAGTGAATGACTGGTGGGTTTAAACTGCAGACCTTGTGGTTCAAACTGACCTTGCAGTCCAGTACATTATCCTGCAGTGCCACACACAGTAAAATGATCAGAAGACAGGTCAGGAATGTAGGGGTGGCAAAGTGTGACACACACATCTCAATGTCTTCCTTTCAATGCCCGCAGTGGACATTGCTAATTGATTCCAGAACTTTTCCTCTTGGCTGTATCTTAGAATCCTTCACAATGTAATGTATAGGATGCTGCTGCCATTTGATTAAACTTGACATATAATTAGATTCTAATTCAGTTTACTGTTCGTGGAAGTGTTACAAATAAGATGAGGTCAGAAGAATAAGTGGTACAGGCAATGTGTTGTTATAATCTGGATATTATAATACAACTTTGACCTCAAGGATGAAATGATCCATTAGACAACATATATATAAAGCTACTGTGCTTATGAATCATTAAAGAAATAAAAATGTATTTATGAAGGTATTTCTATGGAAAATGACTTCTTTAGTCAATGCTTTGAAGAGAAACTCAGTATAACCAATCAAAATCAGAAAACTATACCAAAATTCTTTTCTAGTAGCTTCCAAGGCTAAAAATTCCTCTGGCACATGGGCTAGATATTAAATTGCATTAGAGCTTAAATTCTAAAGCACTTGGTTTGTGGAGAGTCTATAGTGAAAGCCTTAATTCTATTTTGAGTCTTGTCATGCATTCTGATGCCATTTCAGTTTTTATGTTAGTTCCCCAATTCTTGTTGACCATTAAACCAACAAAGTGGATTAGACAAGTATGGAGCAAGTCCAGGAAAGAGCAGTTTGACTTCAGGGAGAGCATGACTAAAAGTAGATGAACTAGTATGCAGAAAGTACTCACAAAATGAACTAGAGAACTTGCTTGGATATTTACTGAAGTAGCCAATCAGGTGCATGTTTTCTACTTTAAGTTAAGGGTTGAGGGTCTTGGTATTGTGGCTATGATTCTGAGTCATACTGCTGACTACTTACATAGTCAAGTGGGTGAAGCCCCAGCATCAATTGTGGTCCTTTTCCTGCTTCTTTAATTCTGTCTATGACAGTTATAAAGGAGCTCTGGTAGCATAGTGGCTATGAATTGGGCTGTGAACCTCAAGGTCAGCAGTTTGAAACTACCAGCTGTTCCACAGGAGAAAGATGAGGCTTTCTGCTCCCATAAAGATTTACAGCCTCAGAAACCCTGTACAGGGTCGCTATGCGTTGGAACCGACTCCACGGCACATAACAACAACAACAGGACAGTTATACAGATTAGCCTGCCATCAATCATGATCTTGTGATTTCTTTTGTTCTCTATCTTATACCTGAGTTTTATTGATTATGCAAAGGCTTTTGATTGTATGGATCATGACAAGCTATGGACAACATTGCAAAGAATGAGTATTCCAGAACACTTTATTGGGTTCCTGAGGAATCTGTACACAGACCAAGAGGGAGTCATTTGAATAGAACAAGGGGACACTGAATGGTTTAAAATCAGGGAAGGTGTGTGCTAGGATTGTATTTTTTCACCATTATTCTATCTGTCTGCTGAGCAAATAATCCGAGAAGCTGGGTTATATGAAGAAAAGGGTGGCATTAGGATTGGAGGAAGACTCATTAACAACCTGTGGTATGCAGATGAAACAACCTTGCTTGCTGAAAGTGAAGAGGACTTAAAATACTTACAGATAAACATCAAAGACCATTGCCTTCAGTATGGATTGCACTTCAATGTAAAGGAAAAAAAGATACTTACCAATGAATCAATAAATAACATCAGAGAAATGATTGAGTTTTCATATGAAAAGATTGAAGTTGTCAAAGACTTCATTTTGCTTGGATAACCATCAACATTCATGGAAGCGGCAGTCAAGAAATCGAACTATGTATTTCATTGGGAAAATCTGTTGCACAAGACCACTTTAAAGTGTTGAAGAGCAAAGATGTCAGCTTGAGGTCTAAGGTGCGCCTGACTCAAGCCATGATATTTTCAATACTCTCAT